ATTGTAGCCAACACTCAGTTGCAACAGGCTGTTTCATGCTAGATGCAATCGTCAGACCGCCTGTATACATACATATATATATATATATATATATATATATATATATATATATATATATATATACTCAGTTTTAAAAACAAGGAATTTATTGATTTTAATTTTATTAGTCTCTAAGGCCCTTTCAACCAACATCTTATCAGGAGACAATCGTTGGATCATTAATTAACGAAAAGAACAGTAACGAAAATGAAGAGCCAAAAAGGGGGTAACACGCTAAAATAACAAACAAGTGTATATAGTTGTAATGAGGGGAGGGGAAATATCGTGTAAATTAATGATCCTACGATTGTCTCCTAATATGACTAATATAATTAAAAAGTCTCCTAATGAGACTAATATAATTAAAATCAATAAATTCCTTGTTTTTAAAAGTGTATATAAATTTTGTATTGAAACATTTGTATATATATATATATATATATATATATATATATATATATATATATATATATATATATATATATATACGAGTTATTTCTACTGTTGCCCCGACTGCATGAATTTAAGCGTGCTACTAAGGCATTTGTAAACATTTGTTTGGCATCTCCATCCCGCCTTTTTGCTGTCGAAACGTCGACTCTTCTACTCCAACAGCTTCTTTTTCGCACTTCCCGACGGTGGAACTCCCTTCCTCTTACTTGCTTCCTTGATAACTATAACCTTCAAAAATGTAAGCGTAATGTCAATCGATATCTTCTCATGCTTTGATCCCCGTCCTTTTTTTATCCTTCCCTCCGTTCCCTCTATACTTAGTCCTTTTCCTTATTTTCACTCTCTGTAAACACCTTGCTTTCTAGTGAATTTCCTTAAAATTATAAGCCATTCTTTGCCCCAGTTAACAACTGACTGAAGGTTGTTTTTTTACATCAGTCTCCAATTTGACCATGTCGAACTGATCAGACTTACTTTCGAGACCGGAGTAAATGGTTATACGATCAGCAGAGATGCCTAGTTGATAGTTGATGCAATTTCGGTCGTTAATAAAAAAAATAATGCAGAAAAAAAGACAGAGTTTGAGGCAAGAGACACCTGCATTAATATGGAAATGTCAAGAAGAATGACTATTCAGGATAACTTTCTTTTCACGCTTGGTGCAAAGAATTCATATCTCAATTGTAAACAAGATACATCAATTAGAATAGGTTTGTTTGTTTTGGATGCGTTAAAATTAATGTCATCCTTTACTCCTGTTAACAAAAGAATGAAGGTCGTTTTTGAGATTAGCCGACAATTTGACCTTATCGGATTGATCGGAGTTACTATCGAGACACCAGTAATAGTTGTATCAGCATAGATACCAAGTTCAGAGCTGATGCCATCGATTTAGGACTAAGGATAGAGCCCTGGGGTCACCTACATTATTACCGAAATATCTAGAAAAGTGGTCGTTCAGGATAACTTTACACACACTTATTTTTTGTTTTTCATAAATTATATAATATGTCGCGAAGGATCGAGGACCAAGTGTTGTTGATCACTATTTTGCTCCTAGCTATATATATATATTAATTATTTTTAAAAAAATTATAACATTTTGTTTAAAAACACTACAAAAATAGCCATTTTGTTTCAAAATGGCTATTTTTGTAGTGATTTTATAACATACTTATGTTATAATTTTTTTATAAATAATAATTATATTGCTCTACTTTGTATTGGGCACTCTTTTAAGAATAGTAATTGTTGGTTATTGGAATTCATTCCGTATATACCAATTATATACTTATATATATATATATATATATATATATATATATATATATATATATATATATATACTCCCTTGCTGAGGTCCAACTGTTTCCCATGATATCGAACACTTTCTCGGTACACTTGTGAACCTTTTCTGGTGTTTGGATTGCTTTTGCGAATAATGATGATTTTAAGGCATTATCATCTTAGTCGGCTGTGCATTTGCCCGCTCGACAAGTTTGGTTGTTGTATCCATGGTATATACGTATCAACTGCCCTTATGGCATCTTAAACTTGCCAGAGGTATATAAAAATGCCCATTCTCACAAATAACTGTAAGAACGCATGAAACTTTTAGTTGTGGCCGGTCGTTAATGAAAATTAAAAACAAAGTAGGACAAAGGATAGAGATATGGAAATTGTCATCGAATAACAAAAGGTTATTAAAGATGTGACTGTGGGGAAGGAGTTGTAGAATGGAAATAGTTCATCCGCCCCAAAGCGGCTTAATTGCTTTTTGACTCTGTCAAGGCTAGAATGTGAAGTTCTTACTCGAATGTGGCAGGAATATTCCATTTTTGGTCTAATCTGACTCTTGACAAGTTAGAATATAGCAGTCGGAATTAAGTATTTTCTTCAGCAAGTTGTTATCAAATTTTTAGAATTAAAATAGTTTAACCCCCCCCCCCAATTAAAAAGAAAACAAGTCAGCTCCAATTCAAACTAAGGAAATGCTGTTTACCTCGAAATATATATTCTTTTAATCTAAACCACCATAAAATTTCGGAATTTACTTTAAATTTACTTGATAAATGGTGCCTAAAGTCACGTGGCAAACATTTACACACACACCCACACAACACCCGTACAATATCTATATATAGGCGTAAAATTTTACAATGCGAGCAGAAGGAATTTAATCTGAACATTTTGTAAGTTATTCTGGAAATAACCAGCATTTACTCTGAAAATGTGCAATTCGTTTGCGCTTTAAGTGGGGAGGGGGTAGCCTCTCTAAACCCCATGCCTTGTGCGTCGATATGCCTATATATGTGCAAAGACGCCGGTAGACACTCAGAAATAGTTACCGTATATTTTGGGGTTTAAAATAAAATTTTCTACACCCACATTCGATATCAAAACGGATACGAATACGCGGGAGCGCGCACATACACACACACACAAAGAGAAAGAGACGGAAAGACAGAGAGTAAAGAGATACTGATAAAATATACATATCTTGTGGGATGGATAAATTGTCGCCTAAATTACACACAAATGAACACAACACTGACATCTCATTTCAACTGATATATTTACCAAAATTACACAAAAATATCTTGAAATACTAAAGAGTAAATTCATTCAATAAAATTACCATTAGCTTCAACCATCGCTTCCAGACGACTTTGGAATATTCTGCAACTCTTCTCTTGTCTAATAAACATGACTGGGTTCTCCTGCTTGTGTGGCATGATGCAGGGTCTTCTAGCAACCACCCTCTTGAACCAGGGTAGCACTAACCCCTCAAGTTACTTGATGTAGGCCTTCATGCTGAGCCAGAAGCCCTGTGGCAAGATGAATGGAGGAATAACGTCGCCATCGCTAGTGATTACTCCAAATACCTTCGTAATCACCATTAGACTCATCCAACTCTTTCCGAATCCTCTGCGCTGTTCTCAGATTGACACCCAAACACTCTGAAATGTCTGTATTGGAGCATCGGGCGTGAATGCCAGGTATTATAGCATTTCTAAATTTCTGGTGGAGTGAATTGCATCATGGTGCACTTTTTTCTCACAGACGGTTCCCAACTTACGCTACTATACTGTGAAGTCGACAAAATCAAAAGCAAACAACGCGCATGCGCGAAAATATAAATGGCGACAATTTATCCAATGCACCCTGAGATAAACACATTTATTTATACATATTGCATTCCATTTCTTTCCTGTCTCTCTCTTTCTTTTTCTATCTCTCCCTCTTGTTCTCTCTCCATATATATATATATATATATATATATATATATATATATATATATATGTAGCTCACGTAGTTCATTTTAAAAAGTTCATTATTTTTCATATATATTTCTAAATTACACCTATATATATATTTATAAATTATATATATATATATATATATATATATATATATATATCAGTGTGGGTGCAAATGATAACATTTGATATCAGTTCCATAAAATTCGTAATTGGATGGAAAATTCTTTCCTGTAAACAGCACTTTTTCATACCATATGACTATTTGACTATTGAACGTCAAATATTGGCAACGCTACTATTTTTCACATCCCCATTGGCCAAGTGTCTACTTTCTTTATATCCATTTGTGAAAAAAAAATATGTGCGTTATTAATTCCGAAAAACACCGGAAACTATTCAGATGAGGATGCCACCGACTTCACTGAAAGAAAGCTTGTTCTCTGCGGCATCTTTTCAGGATAAATGAACAATTCTAATTCTCGTTTTAGTTGGGGGAATTTCAGTTTCGTGACATGGCCTCTTAGTATACGTGACCTTAAAGTTCTACTCGTGTCGATATTTTAAGATGAGGAATAACACGGATCTTTAGAAAAGCAATCCAAGTTGAATAATTACTACTCTGATAAACAGATTGAAATACCTTCCTTTCTGCAGGGCTCACTGGTCGCCATCAGAGCCTAACGAGAAAGCTTGAGGCCTATAAATCTTCCGACACTAGACAAGATGATAGTTTTTAACAGGCAGACGACAGAATCACGTGATGCAAAAGTTAGATCGCCTCTTCTTTTGGGATGAAAATTAATGAAAGAAACTGTAAATGAATACTGAAAGGGAATACTGAAAGACAAACGTAAGCGATTAATAAAAACTGGCATGTTAAATGCGAGGGAAAAGGTGGAAATGACGAATATTCAGTTTGGGACTGAAGTTATAAAAATATCAAATTTATTGAGATAAAATATCCTATTCGAAAATGGAAATATATTCAGTAAAAACCTTGTTACTCACATTTCTTTATCTTTTTTTTTCTCTATCTTTTCTGTCTGTTTTCTCTCTAACTTTACATCGTCATTACTCTCTCGTTCTTTTCTCTTTCGATTAATTTTTTTTTCTTTTCTTGCCTTCCATTTTACATTCTTTTCTTATTCGTTTTCGCGTTTATCTTTTTAATTTCATTTGCTTTTTATTTTTTTTATCATCATTCTAATCTTTCTAGATTTATCTTTTTTATCGCTTCCTGTCCATATGCTTCTTCCTTTCTCTTCTTCTCTTTTTCTTTCTCTCTTCACACCTCGTTTTTTCTTCCTTTCTTTTTTCAAATCTCTTTTCACCCTCTTCCTCCTTCCTTTCCCTTTTTCCATTTTTTCTTTCTTCCCCTCCTCTGTTGCTTTGACTTTTTCTTTTCACTCTTTTTTCTTCTTTTCTTTCTTTTTCGTCTTTTCATTTTTGTTCCCTACTTTCGTCCACTACATGTTCTTTTTCTTTACTTCTTTTCTTTTCTTTCTTCCTTTTTTATTTTACTCCCTCCATTTTCCATTCTTTTTTCTCCTCTTTTTCTCTCTTTTCTCTTCTTCCTTTTTTGATCCTTTTTCATTCTTTTCTTTCTTCCTCTTCTCACTTTTTTATCTGCCTTTCTTTATTCGATTTTCATTTTCTTCTTTTTACTTGTCTTTTTCCTCTTTTTCTTCACCATTCTTCGCTTTTCCTCTTTTCCTTCTTCCTCTTCTTTTTTATACTGTCTTTCTTTATTCGTCATTCGTCTGATTTCGTTCAACATCATACATCTTTTGTTTCTCAATCACCATTTGTGATCCCATATAACTCGGCATATATTATTAACTAATCCCCGGACCTGTCACCTTCTCTCTCTCTCTCTCTCTCTCTCTCTCTCTCTCTTTCCCTCCTCTCTCTCTCTCTCTATATATATATATATATAGGCAGGATGTGTGTGTGTGTGTGTAACGAATGCACGGCCGCAATTTTCGACGGATTTACACCAAAATTTACATGCACATGCTCCAAGTTAGTGGGAAGGCCAAGACTAACTTTGCATTTCCCAACTCCCATCAATAGTGTAAATAATCGATTTTTTTCATGCTTCTACGGCAGTTTTCATGTAGTTTGCGGCCATTTTCTACTGGCCAGAGTGAGAGCCTATAGCTGGCTGCCACGAATAGGCAGGAAGATTCTATTGCCCAGCGTGAGAGCCAACAGTTGACTGACACGAATGTTAACTAGCATGCTAGCATGCAAAAAAAATCGATAGCTGCATTCGTCACAAGTGGGAAAAATTTAAATCTGCATGGCACTTTACTCCAATTGGCTCATTCGCTTGCTTAAACTCAACGTTGATTCTGATTCCGCAGAACTGAGTTGGGTGTGAAAAAGTATTTGTTGTTAACATTCTTTTTTCATTCGGTTTTTCCAGTTATGAGTCCTTTTTTAAAGCTGATCGTTTTGTGTTCATTTTGTTTAGTTCTTTTTTTCGTAACAGATTTAATGTTTAGTATAGAGGTTAGAAAAAATTGGCAGTGTGAGATAGGCAAGAAGTAAGGCATGTAGCAACATCAGCACGGCAAAGGGCACTCATTTAAAGGCAAGGAAGGGCAAAAATATTTTAAGTCATGTGATAGCGATTGCTATATGAGTCGTACGATTTTTGAATCAAGCACGGGCAACGCCGGGCCATGCTGCAACATATATATATATATATATATATATATATATATATATATATATATATATATATATAATTCAACGTATAACTCGAAAATATTAATATTTTTTTGTTTTTTCTCTCCCCTCTACTAGTTGTAGTATATTTTAACACCAGGTGTTGAAAATATTTTTTTCTTTTCGTTTTTATTGTGTGTGTGTTTACTTTTTTTAGCAATAGATTTCTTTATTTATCAATTCACTATATTTTATTACTTAAATGTTATTTTTTAATGGATACCCATATTTGAGTAGATGCTCTGTTTATTTATTAAACAGTATATTTATTCATTATCATCTTCCATACTTAATATTCGAGAAATCTTATTAGGAAAATATGCGCTCTCTGGCAGGATTCCCCTAAGAGACGGCTCGAATCTTACTGGAGGTCACATATTTTTCTAATAAGTTTTACGTATGCTATATCTATGGGTTAAACTGCTCTGTGACAGACTGTCGCCGCTTGGTGTTAACTTCAGTGTCCGTGAGAAAACATTAGACGGAACCGGAAACCTGGAGGAGTGTGAACAGGGCGTTAGGTTGAACCTATTAGCTCCTACTGAGGTAAAAAAGATAAATAGAAAATAAAATTTCATAATTCATCCCAACAAGTTTTGCTAAATAAAACCGACAAGGCATGTTTGTTTAAATTTTAATTTTTCTCATTTCCGAATTATACGTGCGAACCAAAATGGTGAATAGTCCATACAATGTTTCTGTTTTGTTATGGCTTTGTTCATACAGACATCACTTGGTTCTTGATAATGACCGAGACGGTCGGAAGTTCTTGAAAAAAACTGAGCTTTGGGATAATAATACACAATTTTGACCTGACGTAAATCTTATTAAAAAAATTGGAAAAATACAGTAAAAAAATGTAATAGAATAGATCTTGTCGGTCGATTTTAATAAAACTTTTAAAAAATTCACCTAATGATAACAAAATATCAATATATATATATATATATATATATATCATCGTGTAAACGTAAGAGGAGAACTCTATTGTAAAAAAACAAGAAACCAATTCATAGATATAGATATATCTATATCTATCTATCTATATATCTATATATATATATATATATATATATATATATATGAATTTATATATATAGTCGACTCTCCCGTCGAGATTCGACGTATGAGGGTCAAGCAGATCAGTTTCCAGGAAACCGACAGTCCGACACTGACACATGAGACTTGATTATAATGGTGAAGGCCTCGCAGGGGACTATCCACACTTATGGCTTTATATATATATATATATATATATATATATATATATATATATATATAGATAGATAGATAGATAGATAGATAGATAGATAGATAAATAAATATGGATATATATATAGATATAGATATTTAGATATACTACAACTACTACTACTACTTCAACTACCACTACCATTAATAATAATAATAAACTCTTCACATACGTATACCAGCCGCAACTGTCAGCCTCATGCAATTTTGCAATAATTTATCCTTTTACGATGTTATGTAGATTTAAAAACTCAGATAGATAGATAGATAGATAGATAGATAGATAGATAGATATGATTAGACTGAGATTGGTACATAGATATATAGATAGATTGGAACAGATAGATAGATAGAGAGAGAGAGAGAGAGAGAGATTCATTATAAACAATCTGAGTTTTTGTGGGGTGGGTAGAGCGATTCCGCTTGGGGTCAGTCCTGAATGGACCACCCAATGCTGAAATGATGTTGTCTTAAAATTATATTTGGATCTATAAAAATTTACTTGGTTAGTGGACAGATAAATATTTGTCGTTTATATTTGAATCTGTAAGCATTGACTTTGCAGGTATCCGACTTGGGTGTGGTCATATCCTGCAGGGGATAAAGTTAGCGTATTTTTTTGGAATGGCTGACAAACTATTCAGTTATAAAACCAGAGCTGGATTAAGCTTGTGTTGTGTCTGTAGCATATCTTATAAAGGTGGACTAGATTACAAAAAATAGACATAAACATTTAACTTCTATCAAGTCTGTAAACAAGCCCAGAAAAATATGATTCCACCAAGGCATTTGACGGCCTCGTTCTAATTTTAACTTAAATGACGTATCATTAAAGATACATCTCTCCCCCCACCTCATCATGTAAACATTAACCCTTTGAACATTGCGTTTCTGAACAATCTTAACCTTTCTGCTTGAGCTCCTGAATCAAAATTCGCAAATCATTGGTAATGTAATGTTTTACGGTAGATATACAAATAGTTACAAGTATTTACCTACCGTTTAACCGGTGGCTGGGCATTAAGTCATTTTTCTCTACCACCGTTTAACCGGTGGCTGGGCATTAAGTCATTTTTTCTCTACCACCGTTCAACCGGTGGCTGGGCATTAAGTCATTTTTCTCTACCACCGTTTAATCGGTGGCTGGGCATTAAGTCATTTTTCTCTACCACCGTTTAACCGGTGGCTGGGCATTAAGTCATTTTTCTCTACCACCGTTTAACCGGTAGCTGGGCATTAAATCATTTTTTCTCTACCACCGTTTAACCGATGGCTGGGCATTAACTTATTTTTTCTCAACCACTGTTCAACCGGGCATTAACTCATTTTTCTCGACCCTCAGTAAAGCGGTCGTCAGGGGTCAAAGGTTTAACATTGCAAGAACGTACGAGTCCGATTTCACAAGACAGTTTAAACATATTTAATGCGGAAACTGGTTAGACAGCCAACAAGGAGTGCTATCGTAACATCGTGCGGCGTTTACGGAATGAGTTTATTTTACTTCACCGTCACCTTCAGTGGATCATTCTTTCGTTATCTCGTCATGTGAAACGTAAGACTAAAAATTTTTTTAATCATTTCGCCACAAGCAAGGCAATAAAGCCACTAGGATGCAAAGGGGTTACTGAGTGTTAGAGAATATGAGAAAAACTACTATTAAGGAGAGAGGACAATAAAAGAACAAGAATTAAGAAGACAGAAGATAACAATTGACATTGCATTTAAATTTTTGAAGATCAAAGGCAATAAAGCCACTAAGATGCAAAGGGGTTACTGAGTGTTAGAGAATATGAGAAAAACTACTATTAAGGAGAGAGGACAATAAAAGAGCAAGAATTAAGAAAACAAAAGATAACGATTGACATTACATTTAAATTTTTGAAGATCAAAGGCAATAAAGCCACTAAGATGCAAAGGGGTTACTGAGTGTTAGAGAATATGAGAAAAACTACTATTAAGGAGAGAGGACAATAAAAGAACAAGAATTAAGAAGACAGAAGATAACGATTGACATGGCATTTAATTTTTTGAAGATCAAAGGCACTAAAGCCACTAGGATGCAAAGAGGTTACAGAGAGAATATGAGAAAAACTACTATTAAGGAGAGAGGACAATAAAAGAACAAGAATTATGAAGACAGACGATAACGATCAACATTGCTTTTAAATTTTTGAAAATCAAAGGTAATAAAGCCACTAACACGCAAAGGGTTACTGGGTGTTAGAGAATATCATAAAAACTACTATTAAGGAGAGAAGACAATAAAAGAACAATAAGGAAGAAGACGGAAGGTGATGATTGACATTGCATTTAAATTTTTGAAGATGAAAGTTAACTGGAAGTCAAGAAACCGGAAAACATTTCCACAAGCGAGAAGTGCGAGTGAAGAAACTATTAGCATAGAACTTACAGTTAAATATAGACATTTACTTTGCTTAAATTCATAAAGTCTAGATACCTTAGAGGAAAGATCATCAGAATAATTACCAAGAAAGTATTTGTAGAAACGGCACAGGGAAACTACGTCGCAGCGGTAGAAAAGTGACTGAAGCCGAGATGCCAGCTCATGATCAATAACACTGCAGATTCTTGTTTGGATTTTATCAAGAAACTCTAAATGTATAGCAGGCGCACCAGATCACATATCACAACAATATTAAGGCAAGGACGAATGGTAAACTTATAAATATGAAAAGTAGATTCTGTCGAGAAAAATTGTCTAAGGCTTAGCTTCAGACTGAGCAACTGATTCAATATACTCTTTCCACTTCATGTCAACA